TGTCTTCAAGTGTCCCCTAGTTTCCCAGTGTCACTGGTGTCTCCGTGTCCCTAGGTCTCCCCGTGTCCCCAGGTCTCCCCATCTTCCTAGTGTCCTAGTGAAACATACATGGGGACATAGATACATGGGAATACTGGAGGACACAGGGAGACATGGGGCATTGAGACACTGTGATACATAGGGACACTGTGATACATAGGGTCACTGGGAGACCTGGGGACACGACACTAGGGGACACTGGGAGACATGGGGCACTGAGACACTGATACATAGGAATGCTGAGACCTGGAGTAAACGACACATGGGGGCACTGGGAGGAATCCATCTATACAGCATAATCAAACTAAGTAGTTTTTTTGGTGATTTTACAGCATTTTCTCTTATGTCACTCCTTGTGATTTACATCATGTGATATCACCCATACATATTTAATTATGCAAATTAGTAAGGCCAGTATGTTTTTCCAAGAAAGGTGGCAACCCTAACTACTTTTCACATACTCTTACTTAAGTATGGAAACTTAAGAGGGATGCATGGAACAAACTTGTGTGGACTGGCTGACAATGAATATAGTTAAAGGGACACTATAGTCACCAGAACAACTACAGCTTATTGAATTTGTTCTGGTGAGTAGAATCATTACCTTCAGGCTTTTTGTTGTAAACACTGTCTTTTCAGAGAAAATGCAGTGTTTACATTACAGCCTAGTGATAACTTCACTGGCCACTCCTCAGATGGCTGTTAGAGATCCTTCCTGGGTCATGGCTGCCTAAAATGCATCCAAACATTCAGTGTCTCCTCCCTCTGCATGCAGACACTGAACTTTCCTCATAAAGATTAATTTATTCAATTCATCTCTATGAGGAGATGCTGATTGGCCAGGGCTGTGTTTGAATCATGCTGACTCTGCCCCAGATATGCCGTTTTGTCAGTCTCAGCCAATCCTATGGGGAAGCACTGTGATTGGATCAGGCTACCACTTCTAATGATGTCAGCAGACTGCTTGTTTTTCGGAGTCTAACAGCATGCAGAGTTACAGCTTCAGGCTTGAATACAGTAAGATTTTTACTATATTTATGGAGGCTTGAAAGATGAAAACATAAATTAGAGGGAGATTAGCATAGGGTATGTGTTTTCTTATAGTTGCTGTTTTCTTTCTCTCCAGCACCATCTCCATCAGATACATGACGATTGGGAGTGTTTTAGTGTTTTTGGTCGATATGATTCTTTAATTAGGCCCGTCATAATTGTCAGCACCAGGCCCACTGGGCTGTTAATCTGGCCCTGCTGTGTGTGTGTATGTCTGTGTGTGTGTCAGTATGTATATATGTCTGTGTGTGTGTATGTCAGTATGCATGTATGTCTGTGTGTGTGTGTGTGTGTGTGTCTGTGTGTGTGTGTCAGTATGTATGTATATATATGTGTGTGTGTGTGTGTGTGTGTGTGTCAGTATGTATGTCAGTATGTATATATGTCTGTGTGTATGTCAGTATGTATGTCAGTATGCATGTATGTCTGTGTGTGTGTATGTCAGTATGTATGTCTGTGTGTGAATATCAGTATGTATATATGTCTGTGTGTGTATGTCAGTATATATATATATCTGTGTGTGTCAGTATGTATGTCAGTATGCATGTGTGTGTGTGTGTGTGTGTGTGTGTGTATGTCTGTCTGTATGTGTTTTTCTGTATGTGTGTGTGTATGTCATTATGTATATATGTCTGTATGTATGTCTGTTTGTCAGTATGTATGTATGTCTGTGTATGTGTCTGCAAGTATGTATGTCTGTGTGTGTATGTCAGTATGCATGTATGTATGTATGTATGTCTGTGTGTGTATGTCAGTATGTATGTCTGTGTGTGTATGTCAGTATGTATATATGTCTGTGTGTGTGTGTGTCAGTATGTATGTGTGTATGTATGTCAGTATGCATGTATGTCTGTGTGTGTATGTCAGTATGTCTGTATGTGTGTATGTGTCTATCTGTATGTGCGTGTGTATGTCAGAATGTATATATGTCTGTGTGTGTGTATGTCAGTATGTATGTGTGTATGTATATATCTATCAGTATGTGTCAGTATGTATGTATGTCTGTATGTATCTGTGTATGTATATAGCTATCTGTGTGTGTATGTATGTATATCATTATGTATGTATGTATGTCAGTATGTATTTATGTGTTTGTATGTATGTCTGTTTGTCAGTATGTATATATGTCTGTATGTATGTTTGTGTCAGTATGTGAGTATGTATGTACGTCCGTGTGTGTGTGTATCTGTATCTGTGTATGTGTCTATATGTGTGTATGTCTGTTTCAGTATTTTTGTCTGTTAGTATGTGTGTATCTTTCTGTGTGTGTGTCTGTGTCCTTTTGTGTGTGTGTGTGTATGTCAGTATGTCTGTATGTGTGTATGTGTCTATCTGTATGTGCGTGTGTATGTCAGAATGTATATATGTCTGTGTGTGTGTATGTCAGTATGTATGTGTGTATGTATATATCTATCAGTATGTGTCAGTATGCATGTATGTCTGTATGTATCTGTGTATGTATATAGCTATCTGTGTGTGTATGTATGTATATCATTATGTATGTATGTATGTCAGTATGTATTTATGTGTTTGTATGTATGTCTGTTTGTCAGTATGTATATATGTCTGTATGTATGTTTGTGTCAGTATGTGAGTATGTATGTACGTCAGTGTGTGTGTGTATCTGTATCTGTGTATGTGTCTATATGTGTGTATGTCTGTTTCAGTATTTTTGTCTGTTAGTATGTGTGTATCTTTCTGTGTGTGTGTCTGTGTCCTTTTGTGTGTGTGTGTGTATTCCTGTGGGCGGGATTTTGAGGCGGGCACCCGGGGCCCCAGACCTTGAGCTGTGTTAGGGGCCCCACAATTTCTGATGGCGGCCCTGTGGTCCATAATGTTGTTAAGATGGCACTGCTCCCAGATTCAGGGGACTACATACTGGTTGAACCATATCGAGGCAAACAGTAAGTTGCTGATGAGGTCGTCCTGACACCCATCCGCTTAGCACATAGCTACCAAATGTTTCTCTCCAATGTTGGAGGTGCCAGCAGGGCATAGGGTCTCTTAGCCATATCTTTTGGAAATTCCCAAAACTGGGCCACTTCTGGCACCAAATTCCAAATATAATACCTACTCTATTCAGCTAAACTGTACACCTGAGCCCTGAAATATATTTGCATGATATGTAACTAAATACCATAGGGAAGGAAGAAAGAGAAATAATAATGCATGTGCTGGTGGCTGCTGAAAGTAGTATAGCAGGAGCCTGGAAGTCCCCCTTCCAACCACCCTCCACAAATGTGGTTCTGGAGAAGTTGGCAGCAAATAGACTGCATGTACAAATGTCACATACTTAACTTTGGCTGGAATGATGTCGAGATTTGAAAGAGACTTGTCCCAATGGTATAAACTGAAGATATAAGGCTCGCCGGTTTGCTCTCTAGGGACACATACCTAATGTAACTTGTGGCAGAACGTGCATGCATGTAAACATTGTGTTTTCTTTTATAGACTGTAGAATGTATTTGTTTTCTATAAGTCAAAAGAGATTTAGCTCCCCCCCATACCTGTACTGACCATAGTTGAAGGAATGGAGGTGGACAGAGTTCTGTTAACCCTTCAATATTTCTTTTACAGTTTAGATCCCCTCTTATTTTACAGGACCCATCCCCATGCAATGGCTATTTAGTAAATATGCCTCCACTCGTGGCATGGCAGATGGGGCACAAGGGAGGTTTATAACCTCATTATAGTAATATCAGGATCTTTTTTTGTCCCCCCTTTTTGTTTCTCTCTCTTTTTTAAACCTTTTTTTTCTTTGGTTTTTACTATATATTGGGGGTACTGTGGTTGTTGCTGCCGCCCAGGAGTGATGGGAGTGAGCGCAGGACCTATCTTTTTGTATTAATATCGGGGTCATACTGATCCTCTTAGGCTTCTTTTTTTTTCTTTAAATGGGTTGCTGGCTATTAAGTGCTGACCAGCCACCACACTATTAACCCTAGTTTGTTTTTTTTGTTTTTTAGCTATTTGCCCACTGGCTGCTATTGTAAATAGTATTTAAAGTTATGATTTGCGTACAGAAAATTAAGTGAACAATAATTTGCAAACATGAATCCTGCCAGATGCATTCGGTCCCGAATTTTGTTTAAACCGGTGCTTTATGAATATTCTAAATCCTATACTTTGTAAAAGGTTCAGATGTGAAAGTACTAATTTTAATCTGGACACTGAATGCATCCAGCCAATTTCTAGAGTATGGTTTAACTTACCGAATTCCAACGTGATCTGGCTTTAGTAAATAGGAGAATTGCCATTGCAATCGACATTTGCCCATTTTCACTGGATTTTGTCCATCTCGTGACAGTGAATAATCCTGTTAGAGTCATTACTTTGCTGGTAAATAAAACTCTATCTTTCTTAATCCTGGCCTGTTTCCTGTTCCCGGCAATGAAAAGAAGGCTGCAGACAGACACTATGAACAGGTAGTGATATATTTTTATATTTCTCCCTGGGTGTCCTCTCATTCTAATGCAGGTTTCTCTGTAGTGCATATAATTCAGTACTGTCAGTGACAGCTGTGTTCATACATTTGATAAGGAAGTCTTTTTCTGGAGTGAAGGGGCATGGCTAAAGAGGCAGGCTTATGGTGCAGTGTTCTGCAAAACATTTTTTGTGCATAAAAACTAAAAATATTTGAGCATGCAAACAATATAGCATATTAATGAGGCCAAAACCTATCAAATGCATTAAAGTTGTATTGAGGCACATAGTGTATGCTCGGGTTGTGTCTAATCATTAAATTCATGAAGCGCCAATATCAAAAAGCAATAATCAATTACCCTAAGGTTTTTAAAGATATTGATGGGCACCAAAACCCTATTCGGGATGAGTGAATTGAGTATTTGAGAAAGGGAAAGACACTGACATCAAGTACTTGTAAATAATCAATACAAACTTTATTGATGAAGCGCCAATATCAAAAAGCAATAATCAATTACCCCAAGGTTTTTAAAGATATTGGTGGGCACCAAAACCCTATTCGGGATGAGTGAATTGAGTATTTGAGAAAGGGAAAGACACTGACATCAGGTACTTGTAAATAATCAATACAAACTTTATTGATTAACAAAGACTTAATTAATAAGTAATCATTCAACTTAAAGAAACAGTTTAATATTCAGCTTAAAGAAACAGCTCAAGTATACATCGTCATAAGAGAAGCTTGCTGCACTCGACTGAGAGAACTTCTGGCAGTCTGGCTTGAAGGGGACCTTCTCTTACTAGGAAATCAGCAGAACCAGTGATACATGTCCGTATTACAGGTGGGTAGTACTCCAAACGAGTGCCAAGTTTTCTTGTCTTTTATAAGTTCTTAATAATCAATGGGGTGAATAGTCTGTACTTTTGCAACAAATCTTCTTATCAGTGCAGCCCAGCAAACACCTTGCAAAAGCGTTGGATGGGACCTGCAGATGGCCAGGCTGTCCAGCTCCAACAATATCATGCCAGGTCTGTACGGTTATTATCTCTGATCTAAAAAGCTAGCTCTGTTCTCATAACTATCTTGTGATGGCATGCATGAGTCATTCTTGTGCTGTGTTTTGTGGTTAGTAACATTTTCAGTACTGTGTACCGGCGCCATCTTAACTATCTATAATAGTTTAATTTGCTCAATAGTGATCAATCAAAGATTCTTAATTAATATGGAATATTATTATCATAGCTCGGTAATGTGTTAGGCCTTTGTGCTCATTTAAGAGCAATTCACCCGCCTTGTCTGTCAAGTGGTTTACATGCACACTAGACTGTAGCTCTCTATGGTGAATCTACCTAATGCTGCCTTGTATCACTGTGATATCCCTCTCTGACTCCTCCCTCTCATATCACAGTTGTATAGCTCCCAATGTTTGGAGGTATTTAACTGCCCATGAATCCCACATCACAGGATTCTCAAATGTGGATTATATATCATTTACATTGTTTGCAATTGACTCTAGCATCTAGCACATGGACATCTAGACATGTTGCTGCTCTATGCGGGTGTAGTTCATTCTCAATAGAAAACTCCACACAGTTATACCAAAGAGATACTTTTACAAAGACAACAATTTATATTTGGAAAGTCATATTAGACAAAGCCAACAGTATCCAGCCTTAATATTTATTAATGTGTAAAATAAATGTTTCTGTTATTCAATACTCTTTTTTTTGTAACAAATGACATGCTATATCTCTCTTAACAAAAATTACAACAAAAAAATTACAAATTACAAAAAGGTCCTCCCTTTACAGTGGTATATAAATTGGCGCATACATAAGCATGCTTTTCAGAATGGAGTACTAAGAAAGAAAACAAAGGATAAGAAAAAGAAATATAACATCTATTTTAGAGCACTGAAAAGATTGGCTTGTTTCAGGGCTTCCAAAACAGGTCTCGCACACCATCAACACAGCATGTATTATCAATCTCTGCACTTGTAAGTAAAACAATTCTAAATAATTTTGATAGTCCGTATGCTGCAGTAGAGGTGGGATTTAAGTGTTACAGGCACTCCACTGGTAATCTGCCTTTGCTTCAGCTGATGTTGGCATTGATCCAGTTAATGTAGCTGGACACTTCGGTATAGACGCCAGGCTTGTTAACCTCAGCACAGCCAGTTCCCCAGCTCACAATACCGTACAACTCAACACGTCCTTCCAGCTCGCAAACAAGAGGACCACCAGAGTCTCCCTGTGGGAAGACAAAATGAGATTGTGGGTTCAATAAGAGAAACAAATAATGCAAAAGAAGAATTTATAGATATAGCTTAAGTGTTTTATCGTTTCTTTTATGGCACATTACCTACGTTCTCAAAAGCTGTACGTAGAGTAAATTATTGTCCTTGTTAGTTTATTTTGACAACAATTTGTGACAAAAGTGTGTTCAATTAATCTGAACTCAATATTACAGGGTTTTTGCAGACACAGCAGAAGTCTTTAACCTCCTTATTTGCATTGTCCTAAAATGTGATTTGATCTTTACCTACGTCCCAATGATAGATAAAAAGGATCAGAATAAACAAACACAAAAACATAGTGTGGCGAAAAGTAACCTCGCCACTGGCTTTTGGAGGAGCCTATTTGCCAGCCTCCTGCCCTGTGACTATGGCCCCTGTAATAAACTGTGGTTAAAGACACTGTTTGTACCTTTTGGACTTGTATGGTTCGGTATACGGAATTTACCAAACGGATCAGGAGTCTGGGTTTGAATGCCGAATAAACCACTGAATGACTGGACCACCCGTACGAGAAGTGTGCCACCTATAAACATTATTCACTCAGTAACACTTCAAACTCTCGAAGACCTCCGTGGAAATCCAGAACCCATGAACCGATCTGGGTGATTTTTGGATAGGTTGTTCACCAAGATCGGGGCTATCAGGATATAACTTTTATAGGATTTACGTTGGTTTTAGGGGTACTTTTGGGGTTTTATAAAAATATGTGTTTTTTCAGGCCTGGAGATAATTGAGTTAATACAGTATCTGACTCAATTATCTCCCAGGCAGAGGGGAGGGATTGTATGTTTGTATATGGGAGTGTAAACACTGTTGTCATTGGTCTGTGACTTTACTGTAGTTCCCCACAAGTTCCATGTGGGAGCCCTAAATTAGAATAAGGGGGGAACCTATTGTCCTCCCCCCTGGCCTCCACCACCAATCAGAGTGCTCTGTGTCATTTTACACAGCATGGGAAAATTCTTTGAAATTTCCCCACGCTGTGTAATTTGACTCATAACACTCTGATTGGTTGATGGAAAGCAACCAATCAGAGAGTTATGAGTCAAATTACACAGCGTGGGAAAATTTCAAAGAATTTTCCCATGCTGTGTAAAATGACACAGAGCACTCTGATTGGTGGTGGAGGGCAGGGGGGAGGACAATAGGTTCCCCCCTTATTCTAATTTAGGGCTCCCACATGGAACTTGTGGGGAACTACAGTAAAGTCACAGACCAATGACAACAGTGTGCTCTCAGCCTAATTGGTCCCCCCCTTCTTATTCTAATTTGATGACAATAGATCCCCCCCATATTGGTATTCTGCTGCTCAGGGGTGGGGGCCAAGGAGGACATAAGGTCCCCCCTTCAGTTTAAAAGCCCCCCTCGCGCGGCACGGGTGAAGGGTTTGAGAGGGAGGACACTGGATTTTTTTTACTAAAAATTTTTTACTAATACTAAGTAATCTTTAATACCGTGGGAATTAGGGAGTTATCTACTAAGCGGCTGCAAGAGAACATCCGAAGTCCAGAACCTCCGAAGTGTCGAATTTCGGAATGCCGAACCGAACCAAATTTTTTTTCCCCATGCACATCCCTACTGTTTTGTGAGTTCCTGTTTGATTGGTACATTCTTCACATAATAAGTGCTTGTTGCAGAGCAGATTCTAATGGTGACAACCAAGTTGTAAATGGATCGTTCATCTCCATCTTGGGCATGCCTATTTATCCCAAGAACATAGAATATTATTGTAAATGTTTTATCAGTGAATACTTACTTAAATATTTTAACCCCTTCACTACAGCGTGAGTATAAATATTAATGTTTTCATGTTTTTGCAGAATGAAATCTAGTCCATAAAGTCTCGTTCACCCTCATTTATACTATATATATATATATATATATTTAAATAAATATATATTAAATAAATATGGGGAGTATATATATTCACCCCAGTCTATAGAGGAATGCATTTCTCTGCCAGTATTCACTGGTCAATCTGGCTGGTGCAGGACAATTTTGCACTAAGCAAGACTAGCTACTTGCACTCCTTCACTCCACCCATAACAAAATGTTCAAGCTTTGTGTGTCTCTTTCTTTCCCCAACCCCTTTATGTGTCTTTTTCCCCCAACTTATTTGTCTGTCTCTTTGTCCTCCCAGCCCCTCTGTCTCCCCAGCTCATCTGTGTGTCTCTTTGCTCCCCCAGCCTCTCTGTGTCTTTTTGCCCCTCAGCCCCTCTGTGTGTCTACAGGTATTTGCCCCCACACCCTCTCTCTGTGTGTCTCTTTGTCCCCTTAGCCACTTTGTGTGTCTCTTTGTCCCGAGACCCTCTGTGTGTCTCATGTATATTTGCCCCCTCAGCCCTCTGTGTGTCTCTTTACCCCTCCCTCAGCCCCTCTGTGTGAGCCCCTCTTTGTCTGCCCAGCCCCTTTGTGCCCCACCTCTCTGTGTGCCTCTGTGTTCCCCCATCCTTTTGTGGTCTTTGCCCATTATGGTCTCTCATCCCCCATGTCACGTTATGGTCTCTTAACTCACCTTTCCCTTATGGTCTTTTCCCCTTATCCCTTTGTGGATTCTCCCTACGTGGCTTTTCCTAGACCTCAAGCAGGCCCTGTGGTCACTGATCTACTAAGATACTAATACTTATCACATTTGCAGGCTGGCTAGGGCTGCATAAATGGAAACACAGTAATTTAACTGTTAAATGGCAGATAATTGAGCAGTAAGACTGCAGGGGCATGATCAATACACCCAAAACTGCTTAATTAAGTTAAAGTTGTTTTGATGCCTAAATTGTCCCTTTAAAGAGACACTCCCCTACCCAAATACAAAAGTAATCAAAATCACTATTTAGTATATATACCTCAAATAAAAACTTCCATGCATGTAATTATGCATTTTTCATTGTGGTACATCCAAAAAACAGCTTGCATAATCTGCAGTTCTTTTGTCTGCAGCCTCTGTAAGTCCTTCCCTTCTAAACCTGTTCAGTCTTTCTGTGTCAGATTTCCAGGAGAAGTCTTTGCAGGGCAGGTGCTCTGAGAAATTGCTGCCTCTTTAGTTTAGCTCCACTGAGCTAAATACACCAAAGAGTAACAGGACTTGTTGTCTGCTTGAAAGCCAAGGGGGTGTAACCAAGTTAAAATTTCTGTTGAAATAAAGCATGTCTGCAAGCCAAAGTGCTTTAGAGGTCTGGAGTGTCCCTTTAAGGTCAGAGAAGCCAAAGTCAAAAAAAAAAATCTGTAAGCCAGCTTGCGTTGAGTACTCTGGCCTTAAATTTAAAACCACTTAGAATTCTCTTGTTAGTAATTAGCCATGTTAGGTGCAAATCCCCTGGTTTGTATCCTAAAACTGCAGCCTCCAAATAAAGCCATTTTGTTTGCTTGGGAAAAGCCAAATCACCAATATTATATGGAGCTTTTGCTGATTTTAAAGGACTAACGAACTGCAGCAATATAAAACTGCTAGCTTGGTATAACATAACCAAATTTGTCTTTTTGGAATAGTCAAATAGATTAAAACAGGCAAAAATTGACAACGGAACACTATTTGGTTACTATTTTTCACTTGGAGAATAGAACCTTATGAATACAAGTTAACTGAATATTAAGAAAGGCAGAGGTATTAGATCCTAGCTGACCCAGGGTTCACAAACAGGTCACCAAAGTGATCCACAATGGAAGGAATCTGTACATTCCTATAGAATAGTTCAGTGAG